TTGTGATATATATCGCGGCATATCTTTTGCATCTTTATTGCTTCTTATTTGGGTATGAGGCAGTGGGTATTGTTGGGCAGAGAGGGAAAGATTGATTCTAATTTGTTTTCTTGTTGTTGAGATGTTTATTAGTTTTTTTTTAATATTCTTGCTATTTTTTTATTTTCTTTTTTCCGGTAGTGGCGGCCAACATACCCCACAGGAAAGCCTTATCTTGTGCCGAATGATATGAAAACATCCTGGCTTTAAGAAATGTTTCTCATTACACTATTACCTCCTCCATTAGTCTCGCATTATCATGTTCGTCTCTATCATTAGTATTGTCGTTAATGAGTTCATTTCACATCTCGAAGAGAAGACACCAAGAAAGGCCTGATGAAGTAGAGGAAGCGTAGGAGGGAAAAGGAGGGGAAGGACACTGGGCGTTTTCAGAGTCCTTTGGCCTGTGGATCTTCCGTAATCTCCCCTCCCCCTACCCCCAACCTTTCCCCCATTACCCCCCATGCGCAAGGAATGTCGGGCATGGCGGGGCACCTTCTGATGGGAGGGGGGGAGGATCCACAGGGCCCCCACCAGCCTACTGATTTACGGGGGTTCATTAGCGGTGTTTACAGCTATTATATCAGTCGATTTGAATGAATTACAGAGAATCTATCTTCCCGTTATAGGCATGCGTAGGGCATTATACCCCTCGGAGCCCACAGCGAAAGATGAAGTTACGCATGCCCTCTTCCAGACGACACAGAGGCTCGTCCGCTCGTTGCTTCATATAGTTATCACATTCTATCTTCCCGGGAAACATCCTCTGCCGTGGTCATCGGAGCGGCGAAGTGTGTCGTCATAAACTCAGGAAATTCTGTGCTATTGTTTACTTGTCACATGGTAGGGAAGGAAGGGGGGAAGGGGGGAGGGGGTACAGTTCGTTGTATGGGTATGGGTACCGGATTGATGCGGACTTTCCAAAGGAGGAGCGCGTTGAAGTTCTTTTTCTTATTCTTTTGTCTGTTTTATGTCCCAATCGTTTCTTCCATTTGTTTCTTCGTTATTCTCTTCTTTCTTTCTCTCTTTTCTGTTCTCTTTTCTTTCTTCTCTTCTACTTTCCTTTTCTTTCCTTTTAATTTCCTCTTTCTCTCTTTCTCTTTCTCTCTTTCTCTCTTTCTCTCTTTCTCTCTTTCTCTCTTTCTCTCTTTCTCTCTTTCTCTCTTTCTCTCTTTCTCTTCCAGTCTAGCGACCTTCAGTTGATTGCGTATAAGGTTACTTCTGAAAGCCTTTGTTGCGCCTGCCAGTCGCTGCCATGGAAATTCTCACGTGATATCAATACCAGCATGTTTCAAAGGGAACTCTCTCTCTCTCTCTCTCTCTCTCTCTCTCTCTCTCTCTCTCTCTCTCTCTCTCTCTCTCTCTCTCTCTCTCTCTCTCTCTCTTTCTCTCTCTCTTTCTCTCTCTCACACTCACTCACTCACTCACTCACTCACTCACTTAGAGACAAACACACACGCACACACACACGCACACGCACACACACACACACACACGCGCGCGCGCAGAGTATATGATGTATGTGTCTTTTTGACGGGTTATTTATTTCTGTGACTGCTCCCTTGGCAGTTTTCCAACAGAATTAGTAATCTTTCAGGAATGCTGAAGACGTCAAAAAAAAAAACGTATGTCGACAACGTAGTTGATAAGAATAAGATAAAATATGGCAAGCCTGCGGTTGGAATCTTACTGCAGAGAATACTTTGATTTCGCCTGTAATTGCCAGTCACTTTTGTCATAAATATGGTTACACGATTTTTTTAAAAACGTGTTGACTTGGAAGAATTGTGGGAGAGAAAAAGATGAAAATATGTTTGAGAAGATAACAATGTCACGGATGTCGCTGTGTCGTCGACTGCTTGGTGTGTGTGGAGGGGGGGGGTATGACGTCATCGTGGGTATCCGTGTGTGTTTGTATGCTGAGTGTGAGTGTGGACTGACTCAACAGCCTCAAGTGCCGACCTTGAGGACACCACAAAGCATGGCCCTTGCTATATACTCTGATGTCATCCCGTAATAAGGGAAAATGCCACTGACAAACACGTCGTTAGCGTCGTGCTCTTGTCGTCCAGAGCTACAAAGGAGAACAAAGCATCAAAGTAAACACTGAAGCACCATGAGTACCTTCTACTAAGAGACAAACTATGCCAGTGCGGTGATGACAAGGCCAGGCGGCGGCACCCTGCGCCCACACGGGTCAGGTCCGGCCCGCCCACACGGGAGTGCCACATGTGTTGGTATACTTGTACCTACACGCGACCACACACGCGCATGCGCACGGATAAACATTGCTCAAAAAACATTTTTTTTTTTTTTTTTTTTTTTTTAATCACCTGATGTACTAGGATGTTGCAATTATTAGTTTGTTCTTAGGATTTTTTTTTTACGGAACGTCTCATTACATGTTACGAAGCACGTAAGAGGTAATGAAAAGATTTTAATGTCTTTTATTTCTTTCCAGGTCGAAGGGGGTCGATGGCGGCCTTTACCTCCCAACGCAGACTCGAGATGACAGGGTAAGAATCACCTCCTTTTTGTTTGATAGTGAAAGGCCTAGAGATAGATTTTTAAAAAAGTGAATCGAAAGAGAGAGAAATATAATCAATTTGTTCCAACAGTATTACAGTACAATATAGATTTTTACGCTTATTAGAGGAAAGTTGACGCATATCTTCATGCTTTCACGGGTCCGGTTTTCCATGGTTTCCCCGTAAACACTCCCATCCAGTTTCCAGAGTCGGTAGAAAATGGGAAATTTACCTGAGGCGAGCCTGTAGCTGATGCCGGGGTAACTATAGTAGCCGGATGCATGCGGCGATAAAATATTTACGGAAAAAATTAGAAAGGTAGTTTACGTACTGCCAGGATGGATTTTTTTTTTTTTTTAGATTAGAGGTATTGGCAGTTAGTTACTTTAGTCTGTTTGTTTGTGTAGTTATTCATATGTTTACAAAATGCTCCGGACACGTAACCACCATGAGTCCCCAAACACCATAGAGATAAAAATACATTTGGAAAAGGATGTTTATCGGAGTCGAGCAACCGAAAAGGCGCTCGAGCGTAATGCCAGAAGGGTACGAAGACGAACATTTTCACAACGGATGCACTTGAGGTTTTCCCACGTTCAAATCGTGAGGGGCGAGCAGGATGTGTGGTTTCTTGTCCTCGCGTGGAGAAGGGGATTTGAACAGGGAAAAAAAACGAAATTGCTAGATGAAAAGGTGGAAAAGAGGAAAGGGTGAGTGAATGAATGTGGATGAATTATTGTCATTTGTGATTTTGGATGTCGTCGTTGATGGAAATGAGAACTGTTGTAATAAGTGTAATGTGATAGTAGAAAAGAGGAAGAGAAAGCGATAAATAGTAGAAGATAGAAACAAGAAAAAGTAGCCCACAATAAGCTGCCTTTGCTAATTGTCAAGTGTCCATAGAAATGTATGTAGCAACTTTCTACTTTCTTGTAGGTAAATAATGTCTTTAAGCGTCTCTCTCTCTCCCTCTCCCTCTCTCCCTCCCTCCCTCCCTCCGTCCCTCCCTCCCTCCCTCCCTCCCTCCCTCTCCTTTTCCCCTCCCTCCCTCTCTCTCTCTCTCTCTCTCTCTCTCTCTCTCTCTCTCTCTCTCTCTCTCTCTCTCTCTCTCTCTCTCTCTCTCTCCCTCCCTCCCTCCCTCCCTCCCTCCCTCCCTCCCTCCCTCCCTCCCTCCCTCCCTCCCTCTCCTTTTCCCCTCCCTCCCTCTCTCTCTCTCTCTCTCTCTCTCTCTCTCTCTCTCTCTCTCTCTCTCTTTCTCTCTCTCTCTCTCTCTCTCTCTCTCTCTCTCTCTCTCCCTCTCTCTCTCCCTCCCCCCTCTCTCTCCCTCTCCCTCTCTCTCTCTCTCTCTCTCTCTCTCTCTCTCTCTCTCTCTCTCTCTCTCTCTCTCTCCCTCCCTCCCTCCCTCCCTCCCTCCCTCCCTCCCTCCCTCCCCCTCTCTCCCTTTCTCCTTCTCTCCCTCTCCCTCTCCCTCCATTGTTCTTTTCTCATTATTATTATTTGTGTGTAGGTAAATAGTCTGTATGGCAACCATGCCGTCTATGGGCCAGATAAATGAGAATTAAATGTCCAATTTATTCACATTAACTTAGATTAGAATTTCGATAGCATGAATTTCATTCTGATTAGCATGCTGGCATTTCTGTTATCTAAACGTATAAAAAAAAAACGTTTAAAGTTTTAAGAACAAAAGTTGGTATCATTTTTACTCTGTCAAGGAACGCGTTTAGTCGCCGTGTTAAGTTTTAAAGTTGCTGAAAAGACTATTAGCTCGAGGAAACGGTTCATAAAATAGACATTATCGATAGGCCAGAAGTGGCATTATCGTACCTCTGGAAGGGCTCAGCATGGGATTGGCCGGTGCAGAAAAGTTGTTTAGGTTGTCAAGCTTCCGGAGGTAAGATAACCTTTAACACAAAACTTATAACTTTGATAATTTTCCTCTTTTTTTCAATGAGATCTTGTAAGCATATCTAATCACGCGATAAATAGTGTGGAGCTGTTACATAAGCACAATCTAGTGAGGATTTGTCAGGTGGAAGTGCCTATCGACTTGTGCTGGGAGCTGTCATTGGTACGTGAGATTAGGTTATCACCGCGAGAAAACCTGTTGAGGATCGAGGCGCAGTGATACGTGTAGGATGGGTGCCACGTCTTGGTAATAACCTGCGCCGGGGTTGTGTTTTTTACAACCGTTCTGGGGTTCGTAACAAGTACTTCGTGTTGTATAACCAAGATGAAGGATTTTTTTTTCTTCATTACGGGACAGAAGTTGCAAGCATCCCATACTAGGTCACACTTGCGGAGGGCAAGGCGACTATTCTGAGCAGGACCTGGCGCGGGAGGGAGGGGGAGGGGTTGGGGCACGGGCTGGGAGAGGGGAGAGTGAAGGAACAGCTGTGAGGGACGTGGCGCCGGTGGAGGGAGGCGTAGTCTATAGGTCGAGAGGGGAAGTGTATGCGTGCGTGGGGGTTCCTCTGCTGGAAGTTGTGAATTGGGTTTAGAAGTTTCTGGGCCGCTGGGATTCGCAAGTGTTGACGGGAACGGCGGGCGATGGAATGGAACATACTTTAGTGTAAGGAACCTCCAAAGCTGCTGACCGGACGCAAGTTAGGAACTACCTGGGTAATTCGAATACAAGAATATGAATGAAAGGTTCTGTGCGCCCGACGGAATGAACTCCGCCACAGGTATGTCCAGTGAACATATATGTATGTATGTATATGTACTTACATTTATATTGTAAACCTTAACCTAAAAAACTGAACACATGAAAAGTAAATTAACCCCAACAGGCTAAATACAGTTTGGTAGCTCTGAGTTGCCTTAAAATAAATTACAGATTATTCAGGCCCGAATTATTACGCACTGCAACTAATCCAAAAAGGAGAAAATTATGGATCAGTGCGTGTGCAACCGGCAACCGAGACACGGGCAATTCTTGTAAGATAATGCAATTGTATGATGTCTTGTTTCTTTAATTACTCTAACGAGTCGTGGAGGGAAACGCACCTGCTTAATGAACGCCAATCCTAATTATGTTGCATATGTCTTGGCTTAGAATGGTTTTAAGAATCTTGTTCTGCCACCCACCCCACCCCACCCCCCGAAAAAAAAACACGAAAGAGAGGGGGGAAGATGGAGAGGGAGAGGGAGAGGAAGAGGGGGGAAGAGGGAGAAGGGGGAAAAGGAAGAGGGAGGGGGGGAGAGAGAGGGAGGGGCAGGAGGGAGAGGGAGAGAGGGAGGGGCGGGAGGGAGAGGGAGAGAGGGAGGGGCGGGAGGGAGAGGGAGGGGCGGGAGGGAGAGGGAGAGGGAGAGAGGGAGGGGCGGGAGAGAGAGAGAGGGAGGGGCGGGAGAGAGAGAGAGAGAGAGAGAGAGAGAGAGAGAGAGAGAGAGAGAGAGAGAGAGAGAGAGAGAGAGAGAGAGAGAGAGAGAGAGAGAGAGAGCGATTCCACATGATCCAATTCGCGGGATAAAGCTACGCAATCGAGGCAGTCGCGTAATATAAGGACCCCGATTCACGCAGCGTATGGAGAAGAAGAACATCATCGGACATCACCCTGGGACCCCCCGAGGCATGTTGTCGTTGGCGGCTAATGAGACATGGTAAATCATCCTTAACTACCTGTTCGGCCGTAATGATACTTCGGGTGGAGGGGGGAGGGGAGAGTCTGCACGACCCCCTAACTCTCGCTCGTGGCCCCTTCGTGGGGAGGGGGGTAAAGAGGGAAGGGGGAAGGATGAAAGGGGAGGGAGTCGTTATTTAGCAGGGTTTGGGAGAGGGGGGGTCAGGTAGAGGGGAGGGGGTGAGGTAGCATCGTTATCGACTGAGGGAGTTTTATTCAGACTAGGATCTCAGTTGTGTTATTTTACTCCTCCCTCCCCCTCCTCCCTATCTCCCCTCCTCCCTATCACCCCTCCTCCCCATCCCGAGTTGAGGTTATAAGGAAAAGGATGTAATTGCATATTTCTTTCTCTCTTGCGTTTTTTTTTTCTTCCATTTCTTTATAAAATCGCATCGTTACTTTTACCCCGAATTCCAATTCCACACCGACAGACACAGACAGTAACCAGAAATACCAAGGTACCAGACACCAAGCCAGGTAGCCACAAGTACAAGGGAAATCTCGAACCAAAGTGTAAATTTCGGACACACGCTCCAGGGCCCCGCGCGTTTCACTTGTCGAGCCCCGAGGATCTGGGTAGTGAAAGCCATATTCCTCGGGAGGGAAAGGTAGGGAGAGGGAAGGAGAGGAAGAAGGGAGGGCAAGGAGAGGGAAGGAGGGAAGCAGGGAGAGGAGGGAGCGTGAGAGGAGGAAAAGGAGGGACGGAGCATAGGGTAGGGAGAGGAAAGAAGGAGTGGAAGACAAGGAAGAAGGGAGTGCAGAGAGAGGAGGGAAAGAGTGAGGGAGGGTAGGGAGAGGGAGAGGTTTTACACCCTGGAGGCGCACAGTGTAAAGGGAGGGAGAGGCCTGGGGGAACGGGGTGCTTTAGATGAGCTCAACAGTGGTAGAAGTAGCGGTGGTCAACTTTATATGCCCAGGGAATTTGTCTTTGTAACTGGAAATATTTTCTTATCTTGTTTTTATTATTATATTTTTTGTATTATTTTATAATCCTTCAGTATCACATTTTGCAGCTATGGAATGAAGAAATACTGAAGAAAATCCTTACCTGTCAACACCACGTCAGACCTGGTGCACACATGTAGACGTGTACACATGTAGGCGTGTCTTAGTAACAAGCACAATAAGAGAGAGAGAAAAAAAACTCCCAAGAACGCACGGTTTTCCACGAAGCTGCTTGAGGTGATGATGGGGGTGAGGGAGATAGAGTGGGGGTGGGGTGGGGGTCGGTTGGAGGCTGGTGTGGGCTGTGCAAGAGTGATATGATTGGAGGTGGTTGCAGACCGGTCCTTATGGTCGTGCTAACGGGACCGGGATTGGTTGGGTTTTGAAGCGTTACAGGGAGAGGGAGAGGAAGGGGGTAGGGGGGAGACAGAGACAGAGAAGGAATAGGTGTGAGATGTCTAAACATGCCATATCGCCGTACTCTAAAGCTTCAGCGTGCAGCCACGTCGGGCGCCCGTGACCGCGAGAGGAGCGCCGCCAGGAGCCGCTCGGCGACTGTCTGTAGGTGTAGTCCCATGGGCCACTCGTAGCTAACCTACATGACTCCCGGGTGCATAGCTCCATGCACGAGCGTTCGCATGCAAGAGTTCAGATATAATGATAGTGTAGCGTTAATTACACCCGGCCAGACTCAATACAGACATACTTTATGGCCACGCGGCTTGCCGTGCCCGTGTGTACCCGGGTATGACGGACATAGCAGAGCGGGCGCCTGGAAGGACGGGTGACACGTCCAGCTCCGTTTCAGAGGTCACGGAGGGTCAAGGGGAGCCCTCGGTTGTCTATTCCTTATAAAGGAGCTTCATTTGCTCGTTCTGCACACGCCGGTAAAAAAACACTTAAATACCGACGCTTTTCGCTCAGTTTCGCAATAAAGACGACTCTATCCGCTACTCAGACGAACTTTTTTTCGCTCCCACACTTGAACTTATCTTGGGATAACTTGGAGAGATTTTGTTTCCACCAACGCGAATCGTTATTGCAGCCGTTTCCGTCTTTGCTGCTTCTAAGAAGGTAGAAGGAGGGGGGAGGAAGGAGGAGAGAGAGGGGGAGGGAGGGAGGGGGAGAGGAGGGTAGGAGAGAGAAAAAGAAAGGGAGAAGAGCGAGAGGGGGAGAAGAGAGAGAGAGGGAGAAGATAGAGAGAGGGAGAAGATAGAGAGAGGGGGGAGAAGAGAGAGAGGGGGAGAAGAGAGAGAGGGGGAGAAGAGAGAAAGAGGGAGAAGAGAGAGAGAGCCGGGGAAGGGGGGAAGGAAGGAAGGAAGGAGGGAGGGAGGCGGAGAGAGTTTTCGTAGATTTTGATTAAGGTCAGATAAGCTCGGAAACTACTTAGTAGATTTTTTTAGTAGCCTCTATTTGGCCATCTTCCCATCTTCTCATCCTTATCATCATCTGCTGCTTATTTATTATAGTTCAGTTCGGCGCTCTCCATTTGACTTTTATTTTTCTTTCTCCCCTTTTTCACTACGTCTCCTACACTCTCTCTCTCTCTCTCTCTCTCTCTCTCTCTCTCTCTCTCTCTCTCTCTCTCTCTCTCTCTCTCTCTCTCTCTCTCTCTCTCTCTCTCTCTCTCTTCTCCCTCCCTCCCCCTCCCCCTCCCTTCCCCTCCCTCTATCCCCATCTCTCCCCCTCTCTCCCTCCCTCCCTCTTTATTTATTTATTTATTTATTCTTTCTCCTTCCTCTTTCCCCTTCTACCTCCCGTAGCAACCGGCGATAGAGTACTACAAGCCCGAGCTGCGAATGGTCATAGTTCAGTTACTGTGGGGAATCTCCGCCTAATTAAGTCCGCCCACGTAACATGATGCTGGACGTGTCATTTGCATATTACGCACGGAAATCGGGAGAGGAGGATGTCTATTTATTTATTTATTTATTTATTTACTTTTTGTAGGAATGTTGTCTTTCGGAATTAGATTCGAGTTTTGAATGACTACGCAACTGGCCGCTAGGTGTCTCTGTTCTAATGTATTCCTTTTCGCTTTTCTCCATTATGGTCTTTTACAGCCGAGCCGATCACCGGATACCTGCCTGCGAAATGTATAGTTTTTTAGGACAAGGGGTGGGGTGGGGGGTGATTCCCAACGAGGCCCAGACAAGGTCTCGGGCACCTGTAGGAGCTGTTTTTTTTTTTCTCCTTCTCTTTTTGCTTTTTTTTTCTTTCTCTTTTTTTTGTGACGGGGTCATGAGGTGCGACGGGAAGGCTTTAGCAAAGTGCTTCTGGTCAGAGCCTCCAAGCCAACGCCGGCCACTGTCAAGGCTGTTTGGCAAGGGTTTCTTCAGTCCCCGACACCTGTTTATGGCGACGCGGGTAGAATAGGCTTGTTGTGGTTATCTGTCAACGCCTTGTTCAGCATCTTTGGCTTGTGTGTGTCAAGGTTTGTTCATAGTGCGGCATCGTCATCATCATCATCATCAGCTGCGGTCTGAAACGTCGTTGGTTTTAGTGCCAGACGGTCATCACTTAACGGACGCGTAAACATCTTTTTGACTTCCTTTGCATTATTTCTCTCTCTCTCTCTCTCTCTCTCTCTCTCTCTCTCTCTCTCTCTCTCTCTCTCTCTCTCTCTCTCTCTCTCTCTCTCTCTCTCTCTCTCTCTCTCACTCACTTTCACTGTCTCTCGCTCTCTCTCTCTCGATCTCTCTCTCCCTCTTCTCTCTTTCTCTCTTTCTCTTTTTCTCTTTTTCTTTTTTCCTTTGCATTATTTCTCTCTCTCTCTCTCTCTCTCTCTCTCTCTCTCTCTCTCTCTCTCTCTCTCTCTCTCTCTCTCTCTCTCTCTCTCTCTCTCTCTCTCTGTCTCTCTGTCTC